AGAATTCCCCAGCCAGCATTCGCTGGCTGGGGAATTCTGGGAGTTGAAGTCCGGACATCTTCAAGTGGCCAAGGTTGAGAAACACTGCTTTAGAGTGTTAATGTCAGACATGCAAGAAACAAGTGACATAAGTACCAACCACATAATTAGTGATACCAGGAACACCTCTGATGAAGCTTAATAGCTTTTTATATAGCCTTATTGCAAAAAACATACACATACGTACATGATTTCAATAGCTGAAGGAAATCTGAGTTTTATTCAAGCCATTTTAGGTGCACATCTGGATCTGTGCATTTGCTATTGAAAATAAAGGTACTATTTAATAAATGTAATACCTGATGGCAGGACGCAGGACAGCATTTCCAATGATAAACTGCACTTTTTCAAGGTTAGACATAGGCCTCTCAGACTCAGAGCATTCCTCCTGAAACATATCTTCCCCATTCATCAGCTGGCTTTTTATCTAAAATAAGCATAAAACCATTCACCTTTTTTTGATTAGAATTGTTTTAAATGGCATCTAATCCATGCTGGAATGGAACACCAGCTCAGCCCCTCCAACCTGGTCCGCTTTAAATGTTTGGACCAGACTAATCTCAAAACGAAGTAGGAAGTTCCTATTATAGGCAAGATATATGCTCCATTCTTCCTATGTTGCTTTGGACATGGGGAATGCATGTCTGTTCATCTGCAATATAGTTTGTTGGCATTATTCATTTTATATTCAAGATACAAGAGGAAGCGGAAACATCTGCACATGTCTGCAGCTTTCTCAGAAAGTTTCTCCCTTGCAATAAGCCCCACAACATCTATTTTCAATAGGACACCGTAATGCCTATTGGATGGTGAGAAGAAAATATGCAACAAACCTTATCAGCCATTTTGGAGTTGCGCTTCAATTTCACGGAAGAAATTACCTTGGAGAACTTGTTAGCTTTTTTGATGTCTACCTAAGTTATCCAATTTATGAAGAAGAAGAAAAGAGTTAGCTTGATTCCCTAAAACAGATAGAAACTGTAAAAAAGAAGGGGAGCCAGCACTCATAAGCATTGAGTTACAATATGAAGAAAGCAGTTTTTTAAAGTCTTGAACATTGTTTTTTATCATTATTTGTAACAAATAATTTTGGAAAGAAACCTTTTTCTCCTCTTTGTAGTGTCACTTAATTACCCATCAAGATATTACTGCTTATGTTACTATTTTTATATTATAATTTTTTTAATTAGTATTTTAAGTCACTTGTCTTCAGAAATAGAATGGCGTAAAAGCTGCAACAAGTAATTGGTTAAATAATAGCTATTAATTGATGGCTACCTTGGGTGCGGAGTTTAACAAAATGTTACATTCTTTATTAGGCTCAATAAATTTGTCATAGACATTTATGTTAGAAAAATGTCACATTCTAGGACATTCTAAGACATTAATGCTATACATTCTAAGTCAGTGTTTCTCAACCTTGGCAACTTGAATGCTGCGAATGCTGGCTGGGGAATTCTGGGAGTTGACGTCTGGACATCTTCAAGTTGCCAAGGTTAAGAAACACTGTTCTAAGTCATTACTGCTCTACTAGCAATGTACAGTAAGTTTTAGAAAATTAACCAGTATAGTTAAAGAAATTTTAAAAGTCAAAAACATTACTTTGTTTTTGACTTCTCACTCAAGATTCAATTTAGGAAGAAATTATGACAGCAAACCATTCTCATCTTATTTTACTGATGGAATGAAACTAGGTTTCTTAGTCTATTATGGAATATATAGAAAGAATTGAAAATGAGTCTGCTTCCATTTTTGTAAGATGAGGATCGTGCTGAGTCTTTCTAGTGTTTTGTAGACACTTAAGACTAACTTCCTGGCGGCATTACAAATTATATGTGCTGTCATGCAAATGGAATGTGGTGCTTTCTTTTCATAAACAGAGCGCTAATAAACTTTGACCCAATTTTCTGACTAACCCAAACTGCTTACAATTAACAATAGAACAATTACGGACAGCTACCCTGTCCCCAGTAACTCTGCTAGTTCAAATCAGCAAGCTATAGCTGAAATAAATTAACATTTAAGCCCCAAAGACAGAGCAAACATTTCTAAAATCACTGAAGCCCAGAATCTGTGGTTTGTACATGGCACACAAGATGACATTTCAGATGTTTGATAACTCTGAAAAGATTAGCATTATCAAGCCCTTCACACAGGCTACAAATACTTGTTGGCTGCAGGGTTCAAATTGTCCACAGCTGCCCATGTTATGAACCACTGAACTACATGTTGCAGCACTTGTCCAAGATGCCAAGATGGTCAGTGACATCTGACACCTCTCCTAGTGCTATTTAGGCTTCTTGTCCTACCTGCTCTGTTAAATCAAAATGATAGGAAGCTAGTATGCTGCAAAGCAAAATAGCATTATGAAGCATAATCTGAATTTCCAACAATGTCTCTGCACTCTACATGTTTTTATTGAACTAGATCAGACAGTCCTAATCCGAATCAGCACTTCAGGAAGAGAGAGTGAGAGTGAGAGACTTCCTGCACCAAATAAATTTATTTGTCTGAGAAAATCCTACACCAGAAATTGTCATTGCAAGTAACACTTCAGTGGGCAAATAACAATTAGACATAAATCAGTGTGGAGCAACAAATAATTAGGATTCTAATTTTTCTATTTAAATAAGCTTATAGCAATGAAAAATATATTTTCCTTACTATATCTGGATGATAACTGCTTACAGGCTGTGGTTGGCTTTCTTTGCCAAAGCTTTCAATAATCTGTGTCTCCTTGGAACTTCTCTTGCTGTTGATATTCCGTACTCTTTCTGGCAAATCACCCATGAACTGTAAAATGATGGTCCATACAGCTAGAGAGGCCTAGTGAGAACAGATAGTAGACATGCTGTCCTTGCAATTATAATGCATTTCATTAACAAATACTTATTAGCTGAATGGAGAGAAATTAGCTTTCTTGATTTTTGTAAATCAGCATATAAATGTACTTAATTCCTATTGAACATTATGAGAATTAGTGCACTGCTATGTTTACCATACAATTATAATAATAAACATGATGTATGTAAGAGAAACACTGGCTACTCATTCAATAGATGATTTTGCCATTTTGTCCAAACAATTCAATTTTGTTACTGTTGCCTTATTTTGAGACCAACATTTAGGAAAGAGAAAACTGTATGTGGTTTCATTAAATACAATTACTGTACTTAATGCGTACTTCCCAAAATAAAATGTGGAAACAATGAAATATTAATAATTCATTATATACATTTTACCATGAAAAATGGGCACAAATTTTGCCTGAAAATATTGTAAGACATCTGGAATGTGCAAATTGGAGAAATTACACGTATGATCTTGCTGCATATTTGCCGTTTACCTCAATGTTAGGTCTTTATCATGTTTTATGTTTTATGAAGTAAGTTGCTGGGTATCATTTTATAAAATTAAGCAGCAATGAACAAACAAATCATGTATCATAATGTGCCATTTTTAATTCCCCAGCTGGGGAATTCTGGGAATCGAAGTCCGGACATCTTCAAGTTGCCAAGGTTGAGAAACACTGCTTCAAAGCTTTCAGGGTCCAAATAGGGTGATGTTAGTATTTTCGTTTAGAATAACATTGCAGCAGACTTTTCTACCAAGGTATAAACCTTTAATTTTCTGCACAGATCCGTCCTTAAAAAGTGCTTGAAAACAACATCTACTGAAGAATTCATCAGCCAAACAACAGAATATTCATTTTGAAACAGCTACAAAGGCTACTAAACTGTTCTGAGTCAATTTCAATGTGCTAATTCTTGTCTATAAATCTTGAAAAAATTGAGAACAAACTGTGTTCCTCAACTGCAGTGACTTGTGTCTTTCAGCAATTAGACAAAACGAGAATGTGGGGATTAAACCAGACAATTTTATACATGGCCATTGTGTCAATTGTCTGGAACTCCTTGTCATGGTAGGATAGGTTGCTTTCTTTGTTTCTGATCTTTATATTGTTGGTAACTTTTTCATTGAGCTTGGAATGACAAATGTTTCCTATTTTTTAAATAAAGGATTAATTAAAACTGAAGTAAAGATTGAACTTTTAATATTTGCAGTTATTAGATGACTGAAAAAGACCAATTTATAGGAGATAGGTCCATGGCCATCAATTGTTATGATAATATCTTCTAAATTTATTTATCATTTATAGTTTATCGTTTATCGTTTATTATTTAACCTTTGAGACAGTGTTAACTCTTAACAATTGCGTAGTCATTGCAGTTTTCTTGGCAAGATTATAAGAAATAGTTTGCCTTTTCTTTCTTCTTAGGGCTTCCTGGGAGACAACAATTGATCCAAAGTCACCCATATGACTTGGTGCCTAAAGTGACTCTAAAATTCAGTCTCCTGGTTTCTAATCCGGCGCCTTAAAATATACTTAGCATGTACAATATGCAAACACAATAAAAATCAACATAACCAAATACATTTCTTAGCCATATCACTACATTAACATCCATTTTATAATATTCAGTACAGTCTGCAGCAACACATTCCCAATTATCAGGAAAAACATAGTCTGATTCAGAACAACTTTCACTTCAGTTTCTAAAGGCTATGTAACAAACAGTTGTTTTAATTTTTTTGCCTGTTATCAGAGAAAGAAAACAAGCTGTTCCAAATTTATTCCAAAGGCAATTTATTAAACATTACTTCAAGGAACTGGGAGTTTTGATTTTAAAAACACATTAAATTAAGGTAAATAATTACCAAAATATCATCCTTTTCATCATGATAAAGCAAAGGGTGGCGCAGTGGACGTCTAATGTGTGTATAAGTGGCAGATCCCTGGAAGTGAGTTGCTGCAAATTTGGGGAAGTTGTATTGTGCCAAGTCATCTGCCTCCTCATTCAGCTCTACTGTTATGGGGATCATATCCAGGTCTATCTCATGCAGCTTGTGTGTCTGTGTTTTTTTCTCCAGGTCCTACAAGGTACAGAAGTAGAAAAACAGTTTTGTTTTAATTCCCTAGTGTTGTTAACTTAGACTTGATATAGGTGTTGAAATTGCAAGCATAAAAAATCTAAATAACGTCCTCTTCAGCACTCAGGGATTGCATTCCAGGAAAGAAAGGTAGATTGAAGATGATTCCACAGAAATGATGCCTATGACAACAGTGGAATGAAGAAGGCCTCTCTGGACAAGTGCTCCAAACAGCTGCTCCCCATGAAGAGATTGATAGACAGCAGTCTCCAGCAGGTTTATAGCTCTGGAAAATGAGAGGACAGCCATCTTGCTCAAATTGCTATGGCAGCCTCAGAGATTTGACTTCTGAGAAATGGGGATTTTCTGGTCAACTTCCTAATGTCTCCCAGAAAATAAACATAAAAATGGTGAGTGGATGAAATCCATTGCTCTACTTTTGCATGGTTTTCACTGCCCAGAAATAGGGCAACTGTAAGTTGTGGGGGTGGATAAAGGAGGTAATGTGAAATAACTTTATCAGTTTTTCTTTCTGGTCAATCATTATTTTTACTTTAGTTGCAATCAGCAATGCAGCCATTTTAATGATATATTTTGAAATGTTCAAAAGTGCTCATAACTTCCTCAAAATTACTTCATTATTCAAGAAGCACAATCAGGAAAACTAGACCTATTTTTATTACAAGGTTACGTTGCTAGAAGCTTGCAAATCTGAAGGTACCCCTCTGGTTTCTCACTTTTACTCACCAAAAACCAGGGAGGGTCCCTCCTAAATACATTTGCCATTTTCTCCTTTGGAGTCAGATTTTGTTCACCAGATTGTTGTCTAGACTATTGCTCTTTCTCCAACCTCAGAAGGTGATACTATTACAATAGACAATCAATTTAATTATATCTCCATCTCTTCTTACCTCAAAGCCCAAAGGAGCTTGGCCTTCTTGCCCTCCAATGAAAGAAGGCAAGAAACCAAATACTCTGTCCACCATTTCCTGATCACTGATGTCATCATACATTGATCCATGTTTGTTTTCTTCAGAATCCTTTACTTTTAATTTCTTACTATAATCTTCTGATTCTGGAATTGCCAAATGTTCCTGTAAATAAATGAAAGGAATCCATTAAGGTGGACTTAGGGATTGAGTTAGGACTTTATATGTACAAATTGCACTTTATAACTACTCCTGCATCATCAGAACAAAGTAACAAAATTAGTTACTATTCACTGATTTGACACTGGAAACTCCAACAATGAAAAAAGATCCAATGGGAGTCCTAAAAATTGATAAAATAAAATAAAAACCAGGAGGCACTACCGCAAACATGCTCCGGCTGCTCCAACAATAATTTTATTCCTGGAAATTTATTAAACATTGCTTCAAGGAACTGAGAGATGTTTAAATGTTAACAGAAAGCTACTGTATTTATATTTTGGCCCAGTGGCCTCATCTAGTTAAGCAAAAGAAATCCCACTCAATAGATTCAGAAAGGAAAACCTGATATGTTGATACAGGTAAATGGGCAGAGAAATCTGAAACTTGAAAAAAATCAAACACTAATGAACTAAGATATTGTCCTTTTCTTGCCTTTCCTAAAGGAATGAGAGTACTCTCCCAGGGCTGGCTCAAAAAGATAAGTAGCGCCCAGATCCAGAAACCAGTCTGGAAAATAGTTGCAATCTAAGAAATAGTAAGCTGGATATGGGTTGATATTTGGATTTGATCATACAGAAGATTATTTGGGTTTGGTGACTTTATTATACCTTCTTGTTATTCCATCTCTGTCTTCCTGGTTCAAGGAGTTGCTACTGAGATAATCCTTTCAGAAGTCAGTTTTCTTTAATCTTTTTTCTCCTTTCCTTTTGTTTCCTTTCAATTTTTTAGTTTTTTGACTAAACACATGATATAGACTTGATTTCTTACCGAAAGCGTGACTCCATTCTGAAAGGGTTTTAATATCATCATATGTATTTTCCTTCTGCTGAATACTCCCTAGTAACTCTGGTCAGAAGGAATTTGTCTGTGGAAATGTACCTGATGGTAGCATTTGCTGAATGGGCTCTCCTAAGGATCATGGGTATTGTAAGATTTGCAGAGAAAAAGGCCTTAGACCAGTGGTTCTCAACCTGTGGGTCAGGACTGCTTTGGGTGTTGAACAGGGGTTGCCTAAGACTATTGAAAAACACATATTTTCGATGGTCTTAGGAACCGAGACACCAATTTTATGGTTGGGGGTCACCACAACATGAGGAACTGTATTAAAGGGTCACAGCATTGGGAAGGTTGAGAACCACTGCCTTAGACAGTCCTCACCTGAGGCAGGCAGGCAGGCAGGCAGGCAGCACATACCACATCCTAAGTATGTATGCCTTCAAGTGCATCCCATTATACCTTAAAACCCACTTTAAAGCAAAATATTGAGTTCACCCTTTTCAAAAAATTATTGTAGAAGAAAACTTTATACATTTTTATCTTCTATCAAATCAAAAATTGAGATTATTCAGCAACTGAGGTATTGAAGGATTGTCATAGATAAGAGACAGGGCAAAATTTTCCAGATGTTTTAGAAGACAAGACAAGAAGGAATAGGTTTGAGCTGGAGGGGAGTAGATTTTGATTGGACATTAAGACAAGTACTGATGGTAATAGCTAATCACCGGGAAAAACCACTGCCTCAGAAAAAGGTGAACTCTCTTTTTCTGAAAACATTAAGTAATGCCAAATGGCCATCTGTCAGGGATGCGTAATAATGGATTGTTGTATTGACAATAATCTTAAGTAATTTTGACACTGTTATTTTTAAATATTTATTTAACAAAGAAACAGGCTGATATAATACTAATTTTAGCCATTCTGTTCCCATGTCCTAGTTATGAGTTCCCAGCTTCAACACTTTAATTATAGTAAACAAGCTATAACTAGTCACTCTCTTTGGAGGTATACTGTATTTTGGGGAGTATAAGAGGCACCGGAATATAAGACCCAACAAGATTTTGAAGAGGCAAATTTTTAAAAAAAGTTTTTGCATTCTGCAGACCTTCCAAAAATGGCCTGTTTTTCATGAAAACGGGCATGCATAGCCTTTAGGAGGCTTATAGAGTGCTCCTGGGGGCTGGGAAACACGAGCAAAAAATGGCCTGTTTTTCATTCATTTTTGCCCTCCCCAGCCCCCAGGACACTCTGGAAGCCCCCAAAAGGCTATGCACAGCCATTTTTGCAAAGAGGGCAGGGTTTTGATAGGACAAAAATGCTGTATTCAGTGTATAAGACGCACCCAGATTTTCAGCCTCTTTTTTGAGGGAAAAAGGTGCGTCTTATACTCCGAAAAATACAGTAACTATTTTATTCCATCATCAAAATTACTATTCTTCACAAGTTCTATGAACAAGACTTGTTGTGTGATTCCTATTTCCATGTTTCCAATCATACTACCTACCTTCTTCATTTTGTGCAAAGTCTTACGAACAAACATTCCCCTGGCATAAGCCTGTATCACACACACAGCTTTCAGCTGCTCAGCAATTTTCTGGCGCATCAGGTAACCTCGGCACAACGCTTGAAACTTAATCATGTTCCCACGGGCTTCTTCATACTTCTTCATAAGCTGTTTGCTCCGGAAAAGGGCTTGCAGACGTTCAAATCCCAATATGAGCTATATGGGAGAAATAACAGCCTGACATTAATTGTGGTGCAAAACATCTATTGCTGGATTCCAGGGTCAAAGGCAAATTCTTACCATTTTAAAATTTTTACGAGCAAAGTATCCTCTCCAGGCTGCCTGTATAACTACAGCACTTTGTCTCTGCTTCAGAAACTGTTTCCTTTACAGAGAAAGAATAACAAGAAACACAACTTATTCTACAAAGAAAAAGAATATTAAAGGAGTGTTCAGAGCACACCCAATAGAACAGGTGCTGGAGAAAAAACGGAGTTATCTCAAAAACCAAATCAGGAAAGCACCCGAATTATATCAAGACTAAGTGATTTCATTTTCTAAATGAAAACGATGACATGTGTGAACTCCCTCTTCTATGGGGTACTGGAATTATCTTAAATAGACATGAACTATTCTAAGTGGTTTTTCCTTTAACACTAACACTTTAATGCTCAATGTATCATGAATTTAGAGAGAAAAAAATTCAAGCGCCTAAATGGGTTAAAGTGATTTAGCATGTTTTAGAGGAGATTAGGTATTTGTTGTGGCTCCATTATTGTGGGTAAGAAGGTTTGGAACAAACAATAGTAAAGTTTAAATGCAGTGATCCTGTTACTCCATGGATGGTGTTCCATTCATCACCATTTCCTATTTCTTTTCCAACTTTCCATGTTTATTAAACATGCTCAGTCCTCTCTGGACTACTGTATTTCTTTGTTTCTCTTTTACATGTTTTTTTTTAAAATCATGAACCTTATCCTTTCATTTCTTGTTAGCCAGATAGAGTAGATTAAAACCTAGACAACACATTGATTTGTTTGGTTATGGGAGGGTTGCATAACAGGAAGAGGTCCATAAAGTCAAGATGGCATCCAAAAAGCCCACCCTTTTTTACATGTGATGTGAAGAACATAAAAATGGTGGGACTTCAATTGCCTGATAGTGGCTGTCATCTTGTCTTTTTGGACACCCCTCCCCCTATAGTCACTACTAGTCATGGGTTTTCCTCTTTCTCGAATGGAAGGCGAATCTTTTGCCCCCTAGGGTATAAACCAGGGTGGGTTCCTGCCAGTTCTAACCTCTTCTATAGAAGAGGTTCCACAAATCTACAGTGCCATTTAGAACCAGTTCCAGCTCCCTCCCCCCGCAGATGAAGAGCAAGAGGAGGAATTCTGGGAGTTGAAGGCCACAAGTCTTAAAGCTATCCAGTTTGAACACCCCTGGGGGGGGGTTCTAAAGGATTAGGGGTGCAAGGGTCTTGTAACTTGACAGTTTTAAGACTTGTACACTTCAATGCCAGAGTTTCTGAGCCAACATTTTGGTTGCTAAGCAAGAGCGCTGTTAAGTGAGTTTCACCACATTTTACAAGTTGGCCACACCCACCTGGTCACATGGCTGGCAAGCCACTCCCACCCGGTCACATGGCAGGAAAGCCATTCCCACAAAGCAGGCCACACCTACAGAAGAGGTTCTAAAAAAAAAATTAAACCCACCACTGGTATAAACTACCATCTTTTCTCTCTGTCCTGCTTGTTTTTGCTCTTTGAGGATCTTATTGCATTCTAGACAGAGGGTCTCAAGCTTTTTCAGGCTGCACAACTTGTTGGTTTTTTAAAATATTGGAAACAGCTGATCAAAAGTCAAAGTGCCAATCATGGCACACTGACTTCATTCAGTTGAATATGTTTGTTTATCTTTTAGTCTGTCACAGAACCTTATCATGTTCCTGAGGAAGTCAAGGACTCCATGGTCCACACAGTTTGAAAACCCCGATCTAAACAATGCACAACTGTAACTGTTAGTAATTCACATTTGTCACTACCATTAAACATGTTTACCTGTCTTTGACTCCCCTGAGCACCTTCTGAATTAGAATGGCTTTTTCTCTGAGTGCCTTGTCACGCTGGACCTCCAGGACTGTATCGTGATAATCCTATTAAAGATTTGAGAAAAATAAAAGCACACCTATTTGAACTAAGGCTGGAGCAAAACAGATTAAATGATTCTGTATAGAGCCGAGGTGGCGCAGTAGTTAAATGCAGCACTGCAGGCTACTTCAGCTGACTGCAGTTCTGCAGTTCAGCTGTTCAAATCTCACCGGCTCAGGGTTGACTCAGCCTTCCATCCTTCTGAGGTGGGTAAAATGAGGACCCGGATTGTTGTTGGGGGCAATATGCTGACTCTGTAAACCGCTTAGAGAGGGCTGAAAGCCCTATGAAGCAGTATATAAGTCTAACTGCTATTGCTACAATGGTAGCTGGATTTAATTGTTCTTCTTAACAATTCAATTTATTATTATACCCACTGGCAATTGATCAATGGTGCCCTGATAAATATTAAAAAAACCAGTTGTGCTGGCTCTGCTGCTGCTGCCAATTGCTAGCCATAGACCAACTAATTTGCATGCCATGCATAGCGGCTCAGCTCACAAAATTTCAGAAACTTTAACTGTCAGCTTTTGCCAGCCAGTGTAATTCAATTCCACCATATGAAAACATGAATCAGGATCAAGCTGCAAAACAAACATTTTGAAACAGAATAAATGGGGAGAAAACAAAGGCTTAAAAAGTCATGTCTGGAAAAGGTTTGAAGAGATTCTTAAAAAGAGAAGAGTATTTCTTATTCTTCTTCTGTGCTGCACATAGCATTACTTATCCAGACAGAAATAAAGGAATAAAAATATATGTACATTGGAGTATTTCACCATTCAAGTGTTCAGATTTTTTGGGGATTGTTCAAAAATACATTTATTAGTTATGAGCAACTTATCTTACTTGTAAGAAAAAAATTCAGAGGTAGGGATAAAAGTATATCTAAATGAGTTGTTTATATATTATGATTTCCACATCCTTTTTTGGACATCAAGGAAGCATTTATTTGATCAGAATAGAATAATTATCTTATATCTTCAAAGTTAATTTATACCCTGATTTTTTTTTTAATTCTGACTCCATCTATCTCTATTTTTCACTTGGATATTCCTGCTTTCCAATATGGCCTTAGGTTTATCCAACAAAACAGAATGGGGCTCTGGAACCTATTTTTACCAAGAATTATCTGAATAATTCAAGTAAAAATGCTTAAGATTATACCATCAGCCTACATGCAATTGGACATACCATAAACCCCACTGAATCCAATTGGATTTGTTTCTTGGAAATAGAAACAGGCTTGCACAGTTAGTCATGAAAAACATCTGCCTGTGAAACTGTGTAACTTACTTTCAGAAAAACTTTGGTTTTGCCAATTTTCCAATCTTCATCTTCCATTACTTTCTTACAGATAGAAATGCAATTCTGACGAACATCATTTTTCAGCTGAGATGGAAAATAACAATCTCATTTAATTTAAAGTAAAAATACAAAGGCTACATAAGAAATAATTTTATTTATTGAGTCATAAAATTTATATGATTTTTTAACAACTGGCATTTCAAACTGTGGCCATGCTTAGGGAGTACCTTTTTATACATTTTTCCTCTCTATTTGCAAATAATATCTCATAACAGGAGAAATGAGATATCAAGCGCTGTCATTAAAACATATAATAAATTACCATATGTAACACCTGCTCAAATTGGTAGTATTATGGTTCCTGCCTCTGATGTTTCATTATTCTAAGATTATCTGCAATCTTTTCTAATAAACTGATTAAAGAAACCTTGTTAATTCATCTCTTAATTGTTGATTATCGAAGTGTTAGCAATTATTGTTTTTTCCACAGATTTGTGTTATTCACATACTTCAAAATGTTTGATAATTACTGTTCAACAAAAATAAAAGAAATAGATTGCAAGGTGCTAAAGGAAAACTAAGAATATTTATAGATCCAATCTGGATTGGTCACCGGGATCAGAGGTTTTGTATTCCATGCTTTTGGACTCATGCTGGAGCCCATCCCCAGGGAACTCTAGCAGAGTGTGAGCTATTCGAATTAAGGCTATAAAGCCCTAGTAAGACCACATCTAGAGTACCGCATTCAGTTTTGGTCACCACACTATAAAAAAGACGTTGAGACTCTATAAAAAGTGCAGAGAAGATCAATGAAGATGATTAGACGACTGGAGACTAAAACATGTGAAGAACGGTTACAGGAACTGGGCATGGCTAGTCTAGTGAAGAGAAGGATCAGGAGAGACATGATAGCAGTGTTCCAATATTTGAGGGGCTGCCACAGAGAGGGGGGGGTCAAGCTATTTTCTAAGGCGCCCAAAGGCCATACAAGGAATAATAGATGAAAATTGATCAAGGAGAGATTCAACCTAGAAATAAGGAGAAATTTTCTGACAGCGAGAACAATCAATCAATGGAACAGCTTGCTTTCGGACGTTGTGGGAACTTTCAAGAAGATATTGGACTGCCATTTCTCAGAAATGGTGTAGGGTCTCCTGCTTGGGCAGGGGGTTGGACTAGATGACCTACAAGACCCCTTCCACCTCTGTTAATCACTGTTATGTTAGAATTTATTTATACTTATACTCTGTTATGTTACAATTTATTTATATTTATTTATAAAATTTAATATTGATGCTGATACTGCACATAATAAATGCTGTAGGAACAGATTTTAGAACAGAACAATCTGCTTTATTTCCACTTATTATTTTAAAAGAGCAATTTAAAACAATAAAGTACCTGTTCTCTAGTTGGTACCGGCCGTAGGACTCTGTATCTCTGAAAGAAATCTGCAAAGTTATAGCGAATTGGATAGCCAGCTTTCCTAATCCGTATGGTTTCCATCATGCCAGAGTAGTATAGCTGTCGGATACAGAGTTCTCTGTCAAATTGCTGAAAATGAAAGAAACGCCAAATTTACCACAGAAACATAAACATTCTCTAACTAACCAAATCCAAAGTTGATTCAATGAAAAATATTGTTTTGTTTTGTTTTTAAATCATATTTTCAGGTAGGTCTAAACCGGCGGTGGGTTGCAGGAAGTATGCCCCGGTACGGGCGTACCAGAGCCTGCCCGGAGCACCAGATACCATTCCGGTATGGTGCTCCGGAGGGCCCACCTGCCTGAGCTCCTTTCCTGTCTTTTAAGGCTTCTGTGCTTCCGCGCATGCGCATGATGCATACAGCGTCTGCACGACGCTCCGCTGGGCAGCTGGAGCGTCGCAAAGACTCACCCAGGCAGTAAGATGGGATTCGCAACCCACCACTGGTCTAAATCACCTGGTCGCACAGAGGAAAAAAAGCATATTTCTGAAATAGAGCAGTCTGTGCATCAAATTTGGCTTCTGATGATTTAATCAAGTCAGCTGTCTCATTTTCTTGGCAACAAAATGGCAATGGTTTCTGTCATTTTTCCACATTCTAGTCTAATGTGCCCTGTTACTGGCAGCCTCCCCTCTGAGTACTAACCAAGTCTTACCCTGCTTAGCTTTTTGAGATCAGGCAAGCTCAGCTATATGTTGCTACTCATGAAGACTGCTTAGTGTATCTGTACATGTACTATATAAAGTAATGTAAAATGAAATCAATTGTTCCCTTGTCTGGAAATTCTGAATAAATGGTTTTTTCCCCTGAAAATAATTTACAATTTGCAAGGTATGAACAATCCAGTGACAATAAGAAAAAGCAATGTTTAGCATTTCTTTTCTTCTGGATATGGTATGTCTTGAAAATGCTGTGATATCTGACTTAAACCAACCAAGAATGGTCCAAGTGCAGAATAAACTTATTAAATTTTTACTTACTTTAATTTGCAATTTTTATTATACCTATTTTCATGTGGCAATATCCTTTATATAAGGAAAATTAAAAAGTGCAATATGTTCTACTTGTGGTTAGGGCAAACAGTGTTTTTCAAATCTGGCAACTTTAAAATATGTGGACTTCAGCTCCTGGAATTCTGGGGAATTTATCACAAGACATCATCTGGCAGTATTTGTGGCATACAGATTAATATAGTTATTTCTTCTGGAAACTATTAAAAATCTAAGAAATACATTATTAATCAATTATATAATTCTTAGAAAATTAATTCCCCCCCTCCTGAAACCATATGACATGACATATGAGGAGCATAATGAAGGTTACCATGGGTTTCTTTTGGTCATTGGGTTTAAGGCAGCGGATAAAATAAGGCTGACAGCTGTTCAAGATTTTCATCAACTGCTCCAGAGACTGTTTGAATTGTCCTGCTAATGTAGACAAGCGTTTGCCAGAATCTGATCCCTGAGGGCAGAAAATACAGAAATGGCATAAATGCCAAATTACCATCAGCAAAGAATTTACAGCAATGATGTAAATTGTTTACAGGAAAAAAAATATAGGACAGGGGTGTCAAACTCAAGGCCCGCGGGCTGGATCCAGCCCATGGGGTGCTGAGATCTGGCCTATGGGGCTGCCCTGAAAACAGTGAAGGACCGGCTGGGAGTGCCTCTGCCAATGAAAATGGGCTCCCAAGTTCTGTTTTCAGCTACGACAGCCTCCTGCAACCTTCTGCCAGTGAAAACAGAGTCCAGGAGGGCTGCGCACATTCGGGCCACTACAGGTGCCGACACAAATGACCTTAAGCTGGCCATACACCCTCACTGCCACGCCGACCCCAGTCCCCCAAGATCATATACAATCCTGATGCGGCCCTCAATGAAATTGAGTTTAACACCCCTGATATAGGACATAGATGTCCTATATATGCAAATATATAAAGTTTAATATACTTTGCAAGTTTAATAGTTCGATTTTTTCTCAGCATTAAAGGAATTCAAAATGAACCTGATATATATACCTGCAGCAAAACGTTTTTCTATCTTTCTTGAAATAACATTTCCATGTAAAATGTTCTAGATACTTTGCTAATGAATGCATATTTAAGTCTGCTCCTTTCTTTGTTTTAGTTTCATATAAGCTTGCTGTTTGTCCAAAGTCTCATGATGATGCCGCATAAATGCTCAGAGGAGAAAGGAGCAGCATAAATTTCATCTTTGCAGTACACAACTTTGCAAATTATTGGATCTTACCAATAATTTTGCATATAGATCATACTTTGAAAATAAAAGAAGATCTAAATGCTAATAAGATATTGCCTGGGGAACATAAGTCAGAATATAAAATCAGTGTTAAGAAGAGATTCAGTACTTTAATTTATGTGAAAAGGAAGAAGGAAAAACCTGTATTATGAAAAAGAAATCCAAATAGTTTGTATAATAAACTGTCATGATAGAACAAAAGCCTTGAACAATATTATAACTGAACACAAGCCAGAGAGAAAAAAGAAAAATATTTTAATCAAGTATGTTATCAAATAAAAGAATATAATAGATTTTTTTAAAAGAAGAAGAAAACATTGTATGTGAATTGATAGCACAGTGATCATACTTTATTATAAAGGACAATCCTTTATTTCAGTTTAATTTATTTGGGCAGCTTACAATTTGGGCAGACTTTGGGCACCTTACTTAAACAATACTAAGCACACAGAATAAAACAACAATGCAAACAATAGAGATAGTCCTTGACTTATAACTGGACCCTGGAAGTATGATTGTAAGTCACTGTGGTCATAAACTGAGACATCATGTAACTGGGCCCAATTTTTTCAGTTTTTTCAGCAATCATTAAGCAAATACCAGAGTTGTTAAGTGAATGCCATGGTCTTTAAGTGAATACATTTTCCCAAATAGGTGTTTTTTGCTGAAAATGAGAAGTTTACATTCATTAGGAGACAATAATAATACACAAACAATACAACCATTTTACAGGCTCTTCACCACTCTCTGATCCTCAAAGCCAGATGGTACTTTCCTTTGTAATAAAAAGTTATAAATATGAACAATTAATTTTTAAAATCCTTATTAACATTTGCCCTTTTTTTTTTGTTCTTTGTTTTTCCCCCAAGAAAATATGGTCACTGTAATTTATGCCTAAGATTAGAATATTCAAACAGGTATTTATGGAAAAATGTGAAAGAGGCAAAAGAGATTAAAGACAAGTGGAAACGTTATGCTGACACTCCATATGGGTGTGATTATAGAACAACAGAAATATTTTTAGAGACAGGATAAGTTCAGAAAATAACTTCACTAGATAGCAAGACAATAGATGAACTGTCAAAGAGGAAAGCACAAGGCACAAACAAAATAGAACTACATTGTTTAAATCTGCAGCAGATGAGACTATTAAATTTCTAACTATGCCCACAAATATGGGACAAGATTGCCTAAAGTTTGGTTTATAAAGTTTATATTGTATTCAGTATAGGAAATGCAAGACGACACACAAAGTATCAAACCACCACTGAACATATACATTACAGAGGCATATCTTTGTTTGAAGATGTTATAAAGAACAGAGCTATATTCAGAAAAAGAAATGGCAAATGAATAAGCAGGCTTCAGAAAAGGGAGAAGGACATGCGTTCTGATATAAAATTAGACTGATATTGGAGAGATCAAGAGAATATATCCATTTTCTTTTTCTTCATTTCCTACATCAAAGTCTTTGGGGAAACTATACTGGACTGTGAAGCATGAGGAATCTTTACTAAAAAAGCTACTGTAAGGACTGAATTAGGAGACTCAGAGTGATTCATAAAAGGGAATAGAGTGAGACAAGGATGTATATTGTCCCCATATTGATTTAATTATATTGTGGCAGAATTGAAAGAGATCACACAGCAGTAATTAAAATTGCAGTTGAAACATTGAGATATGCAGATGACATCACTTTGTTAGCCGAAAATAAGAAGATAGTACTGCAAGAAAAACAGACAATGAGTCCTGGACTTAATCAAGTTTTAACTTACTTTGAGGTAGTATTCAACAAGCAGTAACTCATATATTTTGAGTAAGTGATACAATTAGTTGTTGTATTAGAAAAAATGATTAAGTTAGACCAGAAAAAATTAAAAGAGAAAAGTGTATTAATTTATTCCGTTGTCAGCAAGACTTATATGACAATCCAAATCTTAAAGAAGATAAATACATGAGAAGATGCTGTGAAATCATTTTGCATATGCAGAAAGAAGGATATGTATTATATTTCTCCTTAAATTTTGTGAGATACAAAATGCTATTATGTAATAATTATGTATTATGCTATTACATAATTTTACAGTGTGTGAACTCTACTATGAAAACCAAACAAAGAAATCTACATTCAGTCACACAAAAACCAAAGCTAATTTTATTAACTTTGGCTATAATAACAGACTCTTGTAAATCTGATGGTGCTTTATGCCCTCCCCTTATGTGAATTTGGAATACATCTTTTGTTCATTCTTCCTTCTTACTCTGCAGTTAACCCATGTTTTTCCCTTCATTTTGGTCATAGATCTAGTCATCTTCCTTTCTTTCTACAGAATGCCAGAAAAGAATTTCAGAATAGCCAAGATAAATTGCACAAATCTGCATTTCTACAATGGGAATGACAAGCCCAAGCATCCTATGTGGCCAAGTGTCACCAACCCTAATATACCTTGCCATACTAGAGCATGGGAAAACTGATTGTATAATCCTTCTCTTTCCCTCTTTCCCTTTTCTCACTTGACTTCAATTGCTGGAGTCTAGGAGGCTCAGCACCTGGCGTCTGTCATCCCATCATCTGAAAGGTTTGCCTTGTGAACCAGAGACCTCAACTTATGCCTTGAGCACAAACTGGCTTAAATTTGATATAAATCTATCAAAGTGGGAGTAGAAAGTGACGTCCATTCATTAGTCTAACCTTCAAGGAATCCTTTCCAAGGTGCTTAATGGTCCCACGGCCAAAAGGCAGAACATCCATGCTTGTGTCGACCTGGAAGATCTCTTTGAGAAATTTATTTTTGGATGAATGAACAAGTTGCATTATGTCCGAGCTAAGCATATCACGGTTTTTCTCAAGGAAACCTGTGGGGAAGAAACACAATACATGTGTTTTTTTTCCATTTGATGTTAATTGCATTTTCATGTTCACTTTATTGGGTTAAGCATTTTCCTTGCACAAATAGCTAGCGCTCCATTTAAACTAATCCTTTATAATTGAAATAATTCTTACGGTTCTTTCTCATGGGCAGTTTGGAAGCACTAGTTATCAGCTAGTTATGAGCTAGCAAAAAAGTATAATGATATAGGTTGTATTGCCTATATTTTCACCAACACATATTTTGCCACAATTACAAACTTTGAATATTATTTTGCCCTCACTTGTTATGGACAATTGTTTTTTTAAAAAATTGATGATTTCCCCTGGTTTTGTTTCCACTCTTACAAAGTATCTGACAATGAAAAGAACAATGCTAATCATTCTCCCTTATGAGATGGGAGAGTGAGTTTTGCTACCTGTCACCTACTGATAGCAGGGGAGGGAGGGGTACAGGATGAAATAGCAGAGAGTACTCTTAATGTTCTTGTTTTGAGATATCTCTACTCATGACAGACTTGTTACCTGACAAATTCTCAGATGGGACTGAACCATAATGTAAACTTTGATCAAATACTTTCCAATATCAAGACCAAAAAGAGAGCAGTCAAATTTCCATTGAATAAAAAGAACTGCAGAAAGTCTTTAAATCTTGGAGCATATACTGTATATACAAATATACATATATGGACACAAGCATGTTCATATTGCAAACCATGATTTTTAAGTACTGCTGAAAGCAGATTTTCATTCTCTATATGGCTTTTTTCTGACCTGCAATAAGGAAACTTATCTAGTCACGTGAAGTCTGTCAGCTTCTGCCGTAGACAGTTTCTAATTCCTAAATATGGAGCTAAATGTCTGGAGAGTCAAGATTTACTGTTGTGTCTGGCATGAAGCCTTCACAGCATCCTATGCTGCCAACACCCAAGCAGAGTGCCCGAATGGCCCCTTCCTTTTCCTCCACACTAAGGAAGATGTAAGTAACTATGATACGTTGTACAAATAGAGGGTTTAGAAACTGTAGTTGTATGAGACTCTTGGATCTCATTAATATAAGTAATAAAATCAGGGAAAAGCACACCATACAAAGCCCCTTCAAGCTGAAGCGCCTGTAAAACAGAAGTAGTAATATGTAACTAGCATAATTTAGCTCTCCTTTCTGGTTTAAATCAATTTTCTGTGCAATGCAGAGACTGGCACTCTTTAAACACCAATAAACCCATGTTGTTAAGGAGTAGCATGTGACCTGACAAGTGCTTCATAAAGTGCCAGTCATGCACTACATGGGCAGATGCCTGTTTGCCATCCAGGTGTCTGGTCTGTTTGCATCTCCAGCTAAACCAGTTCTGGAAGACACCAAGCAGCAAGAAACAGAAATGCCTCAAGAGCACAGCAGCCTCAAGAGGCCAACAGAAGCTATTTCAGAAGCAGATTCTGAAACCTGCCCTTGTCAACAGCAAATAGTGAAGTACACCAGAGCCTATTTGCAAAAAGAAAAGCGTCAGGGCAAGAGGAAAAGCCTATTTTAAAATCAGCACAGCTAAGGGTTGTTTATGCTCTTTATGCTCTTTCTGATGTGAGCTGGTGAGACAAAGAAAATGTTATGAGGACATGGCAAAAAAAGAGGTTGCTAGTGAAAAACCACCCTAGTTTCTTGAATTTGCT